TGATCTTATTTTTTACAAAAAGGAACTCTCTTTTCTTTTTTTGATAAGCCACCAATCGGCATACATAGAAATATATTTAAATATTATATATATTCAAATAAAAAATCAGTTACACTTCACCGTCTGATTATGAAATATTGCAATCGCGTTGAGATATTAAATAAAATAACCATTTAAGGTATTTAATTTTTTTTTTTTCAAAAATAAATCAATTAATTTCATACACATCACTTTACTGACGCGAAAAAAATATCGCTGATCACAGCAGTTCACGCATTGCAGCAACCAAATAAATACAAGATGCAAAAACAACAACAATTTTTGCATATTTTCGAAAACTGCAATGAAATGCAAAACTCGCATTCAGCAACGCTTTGCTCTGATTTTTCATTTTTCTTATTGCTTTCTATTTTGTTTCATATTCTTTATGCTACGCTTCAGCCAAATGAAATGTGAAAATCAAATTATTAACGCCCCACCAATTTGTTTATGTCGAATTTTATTTTTAGCGCATATATTGAACTGTGTATGACCGGCAACAAAAATGTGTAAATGCCATGTGCATTTTTGAGTGATTGCAAAAGTCGAATTGAGCTAAAAATGTATAAAAACAGTGCAGAAAATATTTCGCTGGCCACAACGGAAGCATTTCATTGCAATATCCGGTGTGGCTAGTGTATGGAAGAATTAAAAAAATAGCAAAATATTCCAGCACTCGTCGTGGAAATTTAATGAGTGATATAAAAATCTATTGCGCCATGACTGATTGATTAATTAATAATGGTAATATGGTTTCACTATGGCAATACCACCGAAGCAAAAACTAAATGGGAGTATAATGACGAACATTTTTATATTTGTGACTTGAAATTTAAAAGCGCATTATATCCATTAAATATCTTTAGTTTAGTACTTTAAACTTACTTCTTTAAATATAAAACAAGAAAACACCTTATGTTCGACTGCACCATAGCTATAATACCCTCACAGGTGCATTTCTTATAACAACTATTGTTTGTATATACATATGCAACTAAACCAACGTAAATTTGATACCTCAATAAAAGAGGGAATAATTCACTAGACAAAAGAACATGGACCATTATTTATATATAAAATTTTAAGAATCTTCAACATTTCCCTCTAGATGTTACAAACTTCGTGGTAAACTTAATATACCTTGTTCAAAGAATAATGAGTACTCTCGCTTTCATTTGCTACAATTTCTAAGTAAGCGAAATAAAATGTATATATGCTTGTATAGTGGTGTATTTTAGCAAAATTAAAACCTTACAAATATTTTTTGAAGAAAACATCATAACCTCAATTCGTCAAAAGTCTACTTTATCTCATTCCATTTCTAGGCACAAAATATAATTTCTTATACTTAGATATCCATATTCTAATATCTACATAGTTTTACTCATCCCTTTGATGAATTTTTTCGAATAGGTGCAACCTTTTACAAAAATATGTTCGACAGAAACTTCTTTTTTAAACCTATTTAATATTAAATTTTTTTAAATACTTTTAATATTTGTTTGCGTTAACAAGGTGGCAACACTACACAGAAATACTTTTAACTTGAGTCTACTTAAACAGTTGTAGAAATTCATAATTTTTTGACCAGTTCGATTGAACTAATTTTTTAAACACATGGCAACCCTTTTGGAAATTTTTCGGCCAGAAGGCTACCTTAAAACTACTTACTTGGAAACCCATATTGGAGTAAAGCGAACAAAAAATATTTTCTAAGGTCTTCAACCTACTAACAGCTCTCTTGTAATAATGAATTTAGTTCATCAATTTGTGGAAAATATTTTTTAAGGAAGTGACAACCTTACAAATAATTGGTCCCAAAATATGTTATTTAATAACCTTGTTATAATAATTCTGTGACCTATTTAATGGAATTAATTTTTTTTAACAGTTGGCTATCCTTTTCAAAAACTATACTCAAGCGAGCCTTTTCAAAACACTACAATTTAATACACTTTCGTTGTTTTTACTTACATTACTTAATTTATGTATTTTAACCATTTAATAGAAATAAAATAATTAAGTGGAAATTTTTTGTAAACAAAATTTTTTACGTAAATAGTTTCTGAACCCCTTGAATTTAAATATGTATATTTTATATTTACAAGTATACAAACGTTTGGCAATGGTGTGCAAAAATATTTCCAACAGAAATCTTATTAAATCCGCCCGCGTTACAAAATTTTTTCGAATAGGTGCAACCTTTCACAAAAATATGTTCGACAGAAACTTCTTTTTTAAACCTATTTAATATTAAATTTTATTAAATACTTTTAATATTTGTTTGCGTTAACAAGGTGGCAACACTAGACAGAAATACTTTTAACTTTAGTCTACTTAAACAGTTGTAGAAATTCATAATTTTTTTACCAGTTTGATTGAACTAATTTTTAAAACACATGGCAACCCTTTTGGAAATTTTTCGGTCAGAAGGCTGCCTTAAAACTACTTACTTGGAAACTCATATTGTTTTATGGAGTAAAGCGAACAAAAAATATTTTTTAAGGTCTTCAACCTACTAACAGCTCTCTTGTAATAATGAATTTAGTTCATCAATATGTGGAAAATATTTTTTAAGGAAGTGACAACCTTATAAATAATTGGTCCCAAAATATGTTGTTTAAAAACCTTGTTATAATAATTCAATGATCTATTTAATGGAATTAATTTTTTTTAACAGTTGGCTATCCTTTTCAAAGACCATATTTAAGTACGAGCTTTTTCAAAACATTTCAATTTAATACACTTTCGTTGTATTTACTTACATTACTTAATTTATATATTTTAACCATTCAATAGAAACAAAATAATTAAGTGAAAATTCTTTGTAAAAAAAAATTTTACGTAAATAGTTTCTGAACCTTTTGAATGTAAATATGTATATTTTATATTTACAAGTATACATACATATGGCAATGCTGTGCACAAATATTTCCAACAGAAATCTTATTTAATCCGCCCGCGTTGCAATATTTTATTTATACTGTACATTATAATAATTTAATATAAAAAATATATAACAGGTGGCAACCTCTGCAAAAAATTTTAAACGTGAATGTTCTTGAATCCCTTGTATTTATTTATATTATGATTAATTTTGGTTTCAAGTTTACAAATATCAAATATATGGCAACGCTGCGTAAAAATACATCCAACAGAAACTTTTTTGAATTATATTACATACCTATGTATATTAAATTAATAAAACAAAAAATTTAGTCAGGTGTCAATCCTCTCCAAAAAAAATGGTTTTTCATAAATTTTATTGAACCTTTATAGTATTTCTTTATCAAATATTTTTTTGTTTTAAAATTAATAAAACAAAAAATTTAATCAGGTGGCAACCTTCTCCAAAAAAATTGTTTAACATAAATTTTATTTAATCTTTATAGTATTTCTTTATCAAATTTTTTTTTTTTGTTTCAAAAATTTTGATTTTGAACTGGTGGCAACATTACAGCGTTTTTTTATTTTAAATCTTTTTAATTGTTACACTGAAAAATATTCAAAAATATTCAATCTTTTCTGGTTTCACTATGGTAGCCTAGCGTTCTTGACAGAATGACGTTTCGTAACACAATTTCGTTGCAGTTGAATAATTTTACTTCTTTTCAAAATTGAGGTCATAAAAAATTTAAAATATAAAAGTCGCGCTAGTCGCTTCATAATTTTTCTATGCCTTGAACTTGTTTTCCTCATTACTTGCAATCTTTCTATGCTTCTTCGGTAAAAAACGGCAAGCGCCTACAATACACAAACGCGTTTACTTTACTTAACAGCTGTTCTATTGTCAATAAGCCGGTTATTTCACGTGAAACCTTTTCAATTGAAACTCCTGCAATTTTCTTAAGTGTCGCTTAAGCTGCTCGAAACTTTCCCAATTAAAAAATTTCCAGAATATTTCCGAAATGATTGAATAACATACTTCGCTTGCATAAGTGCTCCACAGCTATGAAGCTATGATGTACTTCAACAATAAAATATACATGTACAAGCTCGCCGCACAGTGGGAAAGTGAATGCATTCAAACACATTTTGTTGGTGGTTGTTGTAATTGTTGTTAGTGTCACCCCGCCCTACATCGCCGAGCGCTCACATATCGAGCGATTGCCATGCACTTTCCATTTCCAATCAATTTCTATATGCAACATAGAGGCACACACACATAAATACACACATACACATATATTGTATGTACATATATAAAGATGCAACTGTGTTTGCTGAATGGAGTTCATTCGTTTGTCGCTTTTATGTTCCGTTGTTCTCGCATTCTGTTGCACGTTTGTTTTGGTTCTTTATCCGCCCCAGTCAAGTGGAATCGACAGCCACAGAATGGCAGAAGAAGAAGAAGAAACAGAAGAAGAGGAGCGTTAATATCTCGGAAGCCACAATGCAATCGAGCAGCGCAGTAGGAACAGAGCACAGAAAAGTTACAAGCCACACACAAACTCATACACACTTACAATGTACGTGTAACATCGTATGTGAATGTGGTGTGAAGGTGAATGTGGCGTAGGTGACGATGGAGTCGACGAAGGAAGTGTTGCTGTGACTCCTGTAACAGCTGGCCGACTGACTTGTGCCCTACACTCACCCACCAGCGACACACGTGCACTTCGCAGGCAAAAAAACAAAAAAAAAGGAAAAACCAAAACACATAAAATACAGCCAAATATGAAGACACAAACAAAAACAAAAACACTGCCACACGACGATAAAACGCCTTCGGCTGGAGTGCAACGCTGTGCCGTGGCATAGCGGGCATAAGGAAACGAACACTGGCGAACGCCTCCTTCGGGTGGCTAAGCACAAGCCGATTGCGAAAGGAGAGAGGGGGCCAAATGGGTGGCTACACGCGGCGTACAGCGGTGAAGAGGCGAGTCTGTTGCGTTTGTGAGATTCATCGTGGCATACGAAACGATGGAGGAATCAGTTCAGTTTGATTCTGTTCGGTTGAGTTGAGTTCAGTTGCAGTTTGTTGTCGCGTCGGAGAGCACATACCAAAAAATTTCGGCAACCAAAAACGGATTAAAATTTTTGAATGATTTTTTTTAAATAAATTTTATTACGCAAAAACAAAAACAAAACCAAAAAATATTCAAATCGAAGAAGAAGCAGCATTTAATGTGTGAATGAAAAACTGAAAAACTACACACATTGATAATATCGAATATTGGAACGCACAACGAAACGTAGCACAAGACACACGCACACACAAACCTCTTTACTTATGGAATTAAACGCATAAAAATGGCACGCACATATACACACATACAACATATATTAATAAGACAAACATAAAAAGCGAAAATTTATGCATAAATACACACATACATACATCTATGAGTGTATATGTAACACAAAAGAACATTGACAGCAGCGCAAAAACGTTAAATACAACATATGAAACACCGAAATGGAGCGACAATAAATAATAATCTTAGCGTGTAATGTAATTCGAAATCGACATCAAACAACACGTTGTCATAAAGGTATAAGAAGTGGTGATTTGAGTGTAAGTGTGCAAGCAAACAATAATATCTATATATTGCAAATATATTGAGGACTTGGCTATGCACAATTAACTATTGGAATAATTAAATGTTTGCGTTATCACTATTGGTGATAAATAAATAAAATATAATGAATAAAAACATAGAAAATAAATTAAAATTGTATGCTATAAATATATGGGAAGCTTAAATAATAATAACCGAATTATAATTATTAACGATAAAATTATTAAAAAGTGTAAATTTCAGATTCATTATGCTCAAAGTAATTAAAAGCTCTAATCAATGTAATATAACACTCTAAATCGACGGTGAAAAAATTTTTATTATTTAATGCTCACTCAAATATGAAGTTACGTATACGCCCTACATCATTTTTGTATTACTATAAAAATATATAACAAGCGTTTAAGTGATTAAAAAAAAAAAATTTATAAAAAAATTTAAAACCATTATTTAATTTTTTTTTTGCTTGTTTTTAGACGCAAAGTGTAGAGAACCCCCATTATAGTGATAATTTAAATTTTCAAATTTTTTTTTAAAAAGCGGTTGTTAATATTTCAGCAAAATTATGCACAAATTATGCTGGTTTGTGTCAAATTGGGTTAAATTAAAGATCAAGAGTAGAAGAGTAGTAGAAAAGTTATTTTAAATTGATGTTGCTTAACCACTAAAATTTCAGTCAAAATAAATTATTCACCATAATACAAAAAAGTTGCATATAATATCAGTGTGAAATAAAAATGAAACAAAAGCTCCTATTTAGTGAAATAAAAATATCGAAAAATATTTACATTTAATATTTAGATAACTAGAACAATTTTACAATACAAGCAGCATTTAGTAAACAATTTCTTGTTTAAAACACGTTTTGTCTGCCATAGATAGCAAGATATTAATTACAAAATAATAAATAAAATATTGTTAACATAATAAGTAGTGTTTGTAGTGGTTATATTTGTAGGTAAATAATATTATAGATTAGCTGTTTCGGTTACAAACGTTCAATTTAATTATTTGACTGGAAATTAGCATATACAATTTGAACGTTTATAAAATTTTATAATTATTTTGACTAAACAATATTTAGTGTATGGATAAAAATTGAATTCATTTTTTATAAACAAAAATTCAGTAAAATATCGTGGATAACGGAATCGAGATAATATTTATTCCAATAATTTAAAAAAATGTGGGTGGCGTATACGTAACTTTATACTTTCACGAGATCGTTTGATATGTGAACCAGGGCGTATTCGTAACTAATTTGTAATCATAACGACCTAATATTGATGAAATTAAAATTATACGCTGAATAAGCGTTTTGAGTAAATAGTTCATGGAAATAAATCCGATTAAAAAAAGTTATATATGAATTAAGTTTATAGTCAATCCCATTTTTTTTATAAAAATAAATATATTTTATTGTAAAATTTTTGTAGAAATTATAGTTAAAAAAAAGTTTTAAAATTTTAATAAATTTCTGAGAATCGAGAATCTTTTTCAGCATTTTACTCTAGAAATAGCTGAAGGTATTTCACTAATTGGCAATCAAAAACAAGGGCATATAATATAAATATATATGCATATGCTCATATTAACAATTTATTCAAAATTAAACACACCACATTTTAAAAATATCAATCAAATAAATAACAGTAGAAACTTGTTAAAAAAAATTATCTTTTAGCAGTAAATATTTAATAATATTTCCAGATACATGGAAAAGAAACTAATCATAAATATAACTATTAATAAGACGCTAAATATTGTGCCATGCTTTTACAAAAAAACAAAAAAAAATAATACTATATTTAAAGAAAATAATAATTAATAGATCAAAACAAAAATTACTAAAATAAAAGTAATAATCATTTTTTAAATGAAAGCAAACAAAAAAGGTCCTTATTAATTGATTCAATACAACATATAATCAAATATATAACCAATATATAAATTGTATAAAGAAAATATTAATTAAATTAATAAATTTAATTCTTTAACAGCAAATACTTATTACGTCTTTAAATGTATTAAAAAAATAATTCATAAATAAAACTTTCTATAAAACGCCAAATTACATTTAATTGTAATATTATTCAGTATTTTTCAAAAAACTAATAAACTGATATTAAAAGAAAATAATAATAATTAAACTACAAACATAAATAACAATAATAAAAATAATTATTAACTGCTAATATATTTAATAATTAGATATAAAATTAAAATAATTAAAAGCCAAATAGAATAAAAATAAAACTAAATTAATTGATAATTTTAATTATAATAAATTTGATTAATTATGATAAATTTAAAAAATTAGAACTAAAATAAAAAATTAGTAAATAAAATAATATCACTACAAAAAATAATAACACTATTATTAATAATACTATTATTTTTTTAGTTATTATTTTTTATATTTATTATTTATTTTTTTTTCATACATTTTTCATATATGTATATAGTAAGTTCTGTTATGTATTTAGTAATAAAAATATGTATGAACATAAAATCTTTTTATTAAAATCGCTTATGTAATTTTTTTTTTTTTAAATTGTAACATTAATAATATTTTCTTTACAATATTTTATTTCAAGAATTTTATTTTCAAGATTTTAATACAAAGTTAATATTTTTAATAAAATTAAAACCTTGTTTTTGTACTCATATTATATTTTTTGATTTCTTTAATTCTTAATCTTAATTAATAAAAAACTCGCATAAGTAGTTTTGTAATATGTAATAAAATTTTAAAAAATTGTGAACCATTACATACAAAAAAGTAGTACCATGCATAAAATTATAAACGATTTTTATTTACAAATTTTTAAAATCTTTTAAAATTTTTTTTGTACTCTTATCTTTTTAACTTTTTAATTCTAAACTTCAATAAATAGAAATTATATGACAAGGAAAAAAATTTAAAACCTCTTTAAAAATAAAAACTCAAAAAATGTGCATAACCATAAAAGCAAGTTAACAAAATTATATAAATTCAAAATTTTAACCAACCACGGTTGAAGAAGCATTACTCACCTAATCACCCTGTATTTTTAGAAGAACTCGAACGCTGCTTTATGTATATCCACACACATCAAAACTGAACAATCGACACAATTGCATTTCAACGAGACTTACAACATATCAAAAGCATTACGAGCGAAAAATAACAACAAAAACAAATGCAAAGCAGATAAGAAGAGCATAGCGGAGCGATAGAGGATAAATAGCAATTAATTGCAGTAGTTTTACACATCGGAACACTTTACAACAACTTTAGCAGCGAAAACTAATAACAGCGGAAACTTTTGTGACGACAAAAACAACAGAAAACACGCCAGCAGCTGAACCAAGAGCTGGCAAACGACGATAGCGATAACAAGAACAATACCAACAACAGCGGTAATAATAAACGCAGCAAGGAGCAATTTCAAATCAAACAACGACTACTTCTAATCCTTCAAGAAACACGCACACACACATACACATACGCCGCAACAAATTACACACACACATACAAAGTTAATAAACGCATATCGAAGAGCACAAACCACACAAACAAATTCGCGTAAACGACCACACCCACACACGCAGAGAAATACGAATAAGTATATAGCGGAGCAACTAAACCAAAACAACAGCTAGGCTTTGGTTGGGTGTCGGAAAAACTTATCCGTTCTCGTTCGTAAAGTCGCGCTAAGTCGCGTCGCAAAGCCACAAAACTGGAGGAGCACGGCGGCGGCAGCGGCGGTGGTGGCGGCAGCGGCAGTGCGATGAGTTCGAAAGTCAGTTCGCTGGAGGAGAAAGTGAAACTCCCGCCGACGGAGACGATAAGCCGGTGTTATCAGCCACCAGGCAAAAATCGCAAAGTCATACGCATCCTCACCGTGGCAGTGTATGTACTATGTGTCTCGTTGGCGGCGATTATGTTGTCGTTGTACTACATCTTTATTTGGGATCCAACCATTAGACCCTTTGTCACTAAGGGCAACCAATGTGGTAAGCCAGTGGAAATTTATAACACACAATTCATCCGCAACACTTTGTAAAACTCTATTTTGTAATTTGCTATGCATGAGTGCGGTCTGCGGATGCGCAGGGTAGGTGGGATGTGTAGAGCGGTTGTCGGTTGCGTGTATGCATTTCGGTTATAACATGATTTGCTTACAAAGCATTTCATTTACGCGACTGAAACGTGTAAGTAATAAGAAGTCGGTCGCACAGTGGTCTAATGTAGCATAATTTGGTGGGAAACATTTTTTTTCTTATGTATTAAAGGGTTTGAATGTTAGAAATTATTTTACTGTAATCTCAATTTGATTGAAATTCAAAAGATCTACATCGAAAGTGATAAACACGCGTATCAAATGGAATACTAAGAATATTCTCCCAGTATGATAATACAAATTATATATTTAGCGATTACGAAAGCGATCTACGCCAATAAAAATAGTTTAGAAATCTTTGATGAAAAAATTTAACTTTAATTCCTACACTTCATATTTTTAAACTTCATTATTTTTACAGTGATCATTTAAACAAAATGTTTATGTAAGGTAAATGGTATTACGTTAGGATTGCTTGAGCTTTTTCAGTTGATTATAATTAGAATTTTCTTTTTTTTTTCTATAATGTTTTACTAAAGTCGTTTGAAGGAATATAAACCACTTACAATATCTAGTGTTATGCTGATCTCTATCAATTAGATATGATCCTTTGGAGATCTACTTCTTGGAGTTTTTAAATGTTTCGGTCAACTAGTTCAAAATCATACATAAAATTTGAACTTTTCTAACCTCTATACACCTTTATGGAATTTCACTGTTTGTATTTGAACCCATATAGGTATAATATACTCAGCAGTAAAATTCACTAATCCCACCGCAACCAAAATAATTTGGTTTTTTTCCTTATATCCGTCTAAGAAAAGGTAGCAATTGAGTATTTCGGTGAAAAAGTTTCACACTAAATAATAGTTGTTAATTATGATTCAAATATGGAAATCAGTATTTTGGGTAAAAAAATATATAATTAAAAGCTAAAGCCATAAATATGCAGTAAAAATCTTCTAAAATAAACCTAGAAATAAACACTTTTAATTTTTATACCTTACTACCATTAAATCATTAAAGTAAAATCGCGCTCAAATTTCGGCTGTATTTACACCAGATATTTGCACAATTTTTTTTCATTTCATTTATATGTACTTGGATTTAGGAAAGAAGCAATATTTTTTTTTGAACTCTGCCGTAAACGCGGCCTTGAGTGCTTTCGAACAAATCTTTTATAGGGTATATTGCTACATAGTTATGTTTACATTACAAATATGCAAAAAAACTTCCATATTTCAAAACCGTGAAGGTTGTGGACCCCTCAATGAATAATTTCCATGACAGTCGGGTTTACATAACCGGAAGGGACTCCCGCACTATCAACTCGACAGCACTCCTCAAAAATATTTGGGAATGTTTTCTGCCACTAACATAATAACAAAAACTCATTACTAAAATGGTTTTCAAGATTGGACCTTTTTTGAGCTACTCCAGTTCGGTAATGCTAATTAGTACTTTTGGGGTTAGTTCATTTTCAGTACCAAATTCTGATTGTAAAATAGCATTTTTGAGCCCAGGTTAGTATTTTTCGAATTAGTTCTATTTGAGTCACGTTTTTTTTTTTTTTGATTGCTTCACAGAACACTTGGCCACCTTACACTGAGAGATTACCTTTACGCCTAACCTATAAGTGGATCTACTATAAGTATAACTCATTATTGAACCCTGTCTACGGCAGTCGGGCCAATCAGGAATCTAATAATAGATTTGAGAAATGTAATTTTTTGCAACAACAACAACTCAAGCATAAAATGTTTAGTTAAGTTGAACTTTTTTCGAGCCAGACCAATTCAACAAGCTAATTGAAAATTAATACTTTTCAGCAAAGTTTATTTTCAGTAGCAAATTCTAGTTGAAAACGATTATTTTTCAAGCCAAGTTGGAACCATAGATAAAGAGGAACACATTGACAATTCCTCGATAAATATTTTATTGACAATAAAACCTGTAATCATAAAAGTATTGACATCTACAATTTAAGGATAATATATGGTTAGGAAATAACGTCTTATTCCACCGTTGGTGTCTTTTAATACTTTACAACAACACTATATAAAATTAAACATATTCTCCCTCAAAAACATTTATCTCTGAAATGTGTTACAACAAATTGTCCCAAACCAATTGAAACCACTCTTTTATCTTTCAAACTCTCCCCTCTTCACTTCATGCTGAACAATTTCACTTTCTATTGTTAGTATTTTACCCTATCAAATGTCACCTTTTGAACCCTGTGCAAATTAGTCGTTACGTACGTGAGTGAACTGGCTACGGTTGCCCTGGCGCTCGTACCCAAAAAATTAAAAGGGACACAACAAACAAAACAAAATGCAAAACAAAGCCTTTGCAAATTAGTACGTGCGGTAAAAAGTGAAAGAAAGAGTTACAGAACAAAAGCTGGGCCGAAATAAAACAACAAGAAACAAGAAACAGAAACAAAAATGAAAAAAGTAAATCAGAATGAAAGTAGAATAAAAGCGCACAGCCGCAGAATGGAATGGAATGGAAGCGGAGAAAAGCGTGCGATTAATGAAAAAGTAGTTGCCGCTATTGCCACTGCTTACTGTTGGTGCTGTTGTTGTTGTTGGTTGGTAGTATTGTGCTTCCACTTTGGTTGTATTATGAATTGAAATTCCTCCACTTGTGGCAGCTGTTGAAATTCTAGGCCACAAGGCATATTCCAGCCAAACAGTCAGCTAGTGAACCATTCATGCGTGACAACAAACGGGCACAGCCGTGCTGTGCAAAGGATGCCAGATAGGATAGAAAATGAGCGATAGTTATGTAGACAAGAATATTTTTTGCATGTACGTGAGTGTGTGTCTGGGTATGTGTGAAGTAGAGAGATGTTATAATAGCGACGAGTAGCTAACAAGTGCAACGCCTAGTTTACGCGATTATTATTGCTGCTATTGTTGTTATTGTTGATGTTGTTGCACATTGTTACCATTCTTGTGCGCAAACCTTAGCGATATCATTATTATTGTTATGTGCCTTTGAGTATATGTGTCTGTCTGTGTGTTTGCATTTGCGCATTATTGTTGTTGTTGTTTGCATTTGTTCGCGTTTTGCGGTTGCAGCGCTGCAAATTCGCTTTACACCGAAAAATTAGGTCAATGGGGTGGCAATATTCTAAAGTGGGTTGTTATTGTTGTTACAGTATGGCAATGGGGCGCGCCAAAGTGGGCATTGAGGTAGGTTAGTGGTTGGCGTTAGTAGCAGGCAGTGCAGCGCGAACACGAACACGAAATATACTTGTACATGCAGTGATTATATGTATATACACACATATATAATTATATAAATGTGTAAGTATATACATATATATATTAAGGAGCGTGTATATGTGTGCGCACACGCTTGGAGGCCGGTGGGCGTGTACTCGTGCAGCGTTGCTCGTGACATACATGCCTTCATTCACACACACACACACGCACACACACATGAACCGCTAGTTTTAAGCTTTTCTGTTTGTTAGTATGTTTGTGTATGTGTACGCCACTTTGACAGGTCAAAATCCGAGTAAACGTTCACTCACCATCAAGAGTCCGTAACTTATTCGCCGCTGTCCATTTACTGCCCATTCGCTCGTTTCAAATTTCAGCGACCATCACACTTACATAACCACTCCGATATTTTCTGTCGAGCACTGACTTTTTATTCCACTTCGCTTACTTCATATTCGCTTACTGTATGGGAACTATGTATTTTTTGTTGTTGTTCGTTTTTAATTGCAAAATTTGCATTGCTCTAATATTTTCAATATTAAGTGGGCTGCAACAACAACAACAAATATGAATGAAGTACAAGCCGAGTCATGGGCTCACCTACATATACACACACATTTATATATACATATATATGTGTACATAATTATATATGCGTACTCTATAAATAAATAAATGGAGCACAGGCGGCGGCGGCGACAACTGGCAGGCCAACAAAAATGGGGAGCAAAACAAACTTGTTATTTGGCATAATTTCCACTTGGCATTTTCAAGGTGGCAGGCACGACAGCTATAACAACAACTACAACTACAACTACAATAATAACAGCAACAACAACAAAAGCAATAAGAGCAGTGCAGTCATCACAAACACAACCGTCTATTGCCGGCGACAAGGTTATGACCATGTACAGGCAAAATCACAAGAACAAAAGCAATCACGCTGGCATGCATACAAACTCACATACACACACACATACTTATATAGTACTTATTTATAAACTTACGCAAATAAAAAAGAACATTGTTGAAGCTGTCATTAAAGGATATCAAGTGTGGTGGAAATTGATGAAAGAAGTCGTGGCAGACTGAGACTGAGGAGCGCGCGTTTCATTTTCGTATTTCTACAATTGCTTAAGCATTTCTGATTTTCTTGCATATTTATTATCAACAGCATATTATTGCATGCGGAAATAATGTTTAACATAGTTTTATGCTATTATTCGGAGTATTTAAGATGTATGGGTTGAGTATATGATTATCATTTGTGTGATTCTGGTTCCAAAACTCAGTCAAAGCTACTCGTTAATATTTATTAAGAAAGTATTTTACTTTAATGACTTCCAACAGACAACCTTCCAAGTTCTCTATTACATTTAAAAGCGGTTCATTAAATTAACCAGTAGTTCATTTCTTTTTCATCATTTCTTCGTTGCCTGGACCAGAAATGCAGCCTCTTGTTTTGTTATATCATTTGTAATGGACAAGGTGACCAAACTTGGGCGGATATAAATCCATTTCTGTTTGCATCACGTGGACTCAACTGTCATGTTTGCGGTCCACATTTCACACATATCACCTGATATGTTTTACTTCTTAAAGGATCCATTAAAGAGTTCATTTATATCATGATTAGCTAGTTTACTGCTGAATTGTTCATAAACAGTGATCAAATGCGAAGTTGTGAAGCTGTTTTAAAAGCTCTGCTAGAGCTGAAGACCACTTATATCACTTGTCACATGTTCTTAAAAATTTTTTCACTTGTAATCGGAGTATCGAGAAAAAGTTTTCTTCAATTAGAGATGGTTTCGCAATATAGCTATCATTCTCTACTTATACTATATTACAGTAGATACATTTAAGCTTTGAAACTTTGTATCTATAGATTACCAAAAAAAAAAAACAACGAAGAAGATTAAAGCGATACGAAGTTACTAAGAAAATATATATGTATTAAGCTTTAAAATCGATACATACATATACAATTTTTGAATAAAAAATATAGCTCAGTGGCTTAGGCATCTAAATTGTTATAGTCATTCGCTGGAAATATATTATTGATAGAAACAAAGACTTGTAAAAGGCGATGGACTGAAATCGACCAGAAATCTTAAAAGAAATAGTCAGCTTAAAGATTTTATAAATATTTTTTATGCTTTTAACTCATATGATCTTTAAAGAGTATACATGTATTGTAGCGGCAGCAAATATTGTCCAAATAATTTTAAGAACACTGTCAAGCTATTAAACCTTAGCTGAATAAAAATCCGTGTACATTCGGGTTACATAGCCCCGAGGGTTGAGAGTTTTTCTAAAATAAAGTAGAAGTAGCAGAATTTTGGGAGTATGGGAGCTTTTTCCATATAAAAAAAGCATATGCCTTGAGAAAAAAATTATTATCTTCTGATCCGAAAAAATGCATATGCCATGAGAATATAGTAATTTTCTTCTCATGACATATGCATTTTTTGATATTTAAGAAACTTCTATATACGGTTTTCTCGGACATATATATGTATCGACAAGTATTTTATTCTCATCTCATAATATAATATAATATATTTTTTAAGCTCTTTCCTAAAGAATCGGTTCGTAAATAAAAACCTATGAAGACACCATAGCATAATTTTTGATATAAAGTCTAATTATCGATGAAATAAAAAAAAAACAATTGAGTTTAGATTTGATCTTACTACACCACACCGCCGTGATCAAATTTGACCCAGACTAACAAAAATAACTACATTTTGGCGTATTTTAATACAAATTTTTCGGTTGTGGCTCATTTTTGGAGCGCGATTCACCAGTAAAAATAATTTTGATGATTCAGGTCATCAAATTAAATGTGATGAGTCGGTCCATGAGAGATGTTGAGATCATCTGCCAACAGCTGCTGAACACATACTAATTGACATATGGAGATCAAAATTCATACGAAGATAAAAATGGTTTCTCAAAAAAAAAAAAAATCACAATTAAGTCCGAGTTAAATTTGATCAGATGGTAGTTGACATTGAAGGAAGCTCAGCCAAAATTTTTAATATGGTGTGGTAGTTATTTTAATAGTTTTCTTAAAAAATATTATTTATTATTATATTATTTGGTAGTGGAGGGAAATTACGAAACTACAGACGCCAAAGTATAAATTCATATTGAGATATGGTCGATTATATAATAATAAATTAAAACCTTTACAAAAATTAATTTAATTAATATTCAAGTATAAAATACATATTTACTAAATTTTTTTATTTAAATCATTAATATTTTTTTTTTTTACATTTAGACAAAATTGTGATACCAGAGAAAATCGCTATACGCCTACTCAATTCATCAGAAGTCACCGCCGAACAATTCTACAAACACATACTTGAACAATATCGCATACTCAATCAGTTGCAACAGCAGCGACAACAATTTCTACAAAAACAACATCTTCATCTACAACAACTGGCTGCCGCCAACAAATTTCAAGAAATCTTCGCCACAGCGACAATAATACAAGCGAATCCCAATGATCCGTTACGTAAACCTATAACACCAACAAATGGCACCTTCCTGCTGGATCCATCACAAGCCATAGTGAATAATCTCGAACCACGTATACCGATATTGGATACTGCGCAAGCGCCCATACCTGTGCTGGCACCCGCATCAGCGCTAGCCACAGCGGTATCCGCATCATCATCGTCGGCAGCATTGGCTGCGGCTAGTGCGACTAACGGACATACCAAACGTAAATCGCATCGCAAACACTACAACAACAACAATCACCATCGACATACATCGCGTAAAAATCATCGAAAGTCCAACGCCATTACGGCTAACGGTAACAACAATGCGGACAACAATAATAACAGCAACAACGATTACGAGCCCGAACCATTTGTTGTGGAGTCGCCACCCATGAATCCGCCCATATTGTCTGTGGTGCAAGAGCCCTATACCCAGCTGCCCATACCGTTGGTGTTGAATTCGCGCGAAGACAAACGTCCATTATATTACACACATACCGAACGCAGGGGCGGCAGCGGTGGAGCGCGCAAGCGGGCGGGTTACGAGACGCAAACCTACATGAATCCGCTACTGACCGGTGAGCTTATATTCGAAAAATAAAGGATGCAGTTGGAAGGAGGAATTCCAAAAATTGTTGAGTTGAGAGAAATGAAAGATATGTGAGACAGAGTGAGGTTAGGTTGATCTCAAAATTTTACTTTAGCGAAAGGCAGTTTGAGGGCTTGCAGAGGGAAGTCAAACGTTAGGCAATAAAGAATATATGGTATTTGGTAGGGAAAACCGCAAACTATGTCATAATTGGCTCATATCATAGGTAAACAACAATTACAACAAAAAAAACAACAACAATAAAAATACTGCCATTATTGCCGCCCCCAAAAAAGCAGTGATTGCAGCAGCAGCAGTAAAAGCTTGCAAAGCGCATTTCTACTGCGACTGCGGATACAACAACAACACTTAACTATGGAAAAACAGAAAACAATAAGCAAATAAACAAAGAGGAAACAACAAACAAACTAGAGCATATATAGCAAATTTTTGAATGTGTAGCGATTAGCGATAAAAACCAAAAACAAAAAAAAAACCTGAATAATAAAATATCTAAAAAATATAACAACAAAATAGCAACAAAAAATCTTATATATCCGTATACCCAACAACCAATACACTTGTAATCGTCTGTATGTACTGTTTATACTCGTATTGTATGTTTATATATATATAATATAATCGGAAAAAAATTAAATAAATAAACCTTCCCGCCTATACACCAAACTCACACTACACCACTTTATATAACTGGTCATATGGTTCGTAGCACATTTCGGCAGCATAAAAATACATGTTCGCATAGAAGCGCAATAAAGCGCATTAAAACGCATAAAAACGCATGAAAACGCATATAAACGCATGAAAAGACACGATAAGGCAGGAAAACGCATTTATTCTTCAACACCAATGGCACCACCACCACCACTCGCTATCAACTTTTCACACACTTCGCCTTCACCAACGCCACTAGTCACACACACACACACTCACTTACTGAATCACTTAGCCACTTTTTCAATCGCCATGTTCACCACCACTTTCACACACACGCGCGCATTTACTAGTGAAGAATTTAATCACCAAATCAAATCAAGTACACCACCAACAATAAAAAAGAAAAGAAAAAAACAACAATAATAACAAAAACCAAAACAAAAGAAATGAAAAAAATAAAAAACAACAACAAAAACCAAAAACGAAAGATGAAATAACATAGCACTTATATATGTATGTATATCAAAATGTATGTATGTATTGTTGAATTAGAGAGATAGTGAAGCCGGCCTTCAACAAAGGCTTAAAAGTCAGAGTGGCCAAAGTAGAGAGGGAACGCAAAAAAATGCAAGCACTAAATGAATATTTGGAGAAATACAGCAGCAAAGGGCAAAGCACATGAAAAACATTTTTTTTTTAATTGAAAGCAATCGACTAGGTCCAGCCAAAAGTATTCATATGACTCAGCATACATTTGAAATTACACTCTGTGTATGTATGTGTAGGTATTTTGGGAAGCGATTTTGTGAACTGCAAATGAAAGCCTTTACTTTAACATCAGTGACTTGCAGTTGACAAATAAAAGATTTGAAATGATAATAAAGATAAGAAGACTACTACTACTGCTGTGTCTGTAGCACGTCGACGTAAATAATATTATATACTTACTTGCAAAGGCGAAATAAATAAATAAACAATAATTAAAACTAAGTTGAATGAAAAATGTGAAATAAAAAATAAAAAACTGTAATAAACAAAAGAGACTTTTATTTTTGTTAAGTCATAATGGCAAGTTGAGAAGGCGACAAAGTCTAAACTGAATGAAAGCCAAGTGGTAAGAGAAGCTACGAAAATGCTTTGAAACAAAAGCACTGTAACTGAGTATAGGTTTATATTTTTTATTTGTTTATTCTATACTTATTTATTAGTTCTATTAGATTTTTGTAATCTATATTTATTTGTTAATTTTTTATATTTTTGTAATCTATATTTATTTGTTAATTTTTTATTCTACATATTTTATTTCGTTTTATTACATTTTTTTATTCCATATTTATTAATTAATTTTATTAAATTTTTTTATTTTATATTCAGACATTTTTTGATTTCATTTAATATTTCTTATTTTTAACACCATATATTTTTATATTTCTTTCTCGTTCTGATTTTTTGTTTATTAAATATACATTTTTCTTTCTTTTTTAGTTTTCAGCAACCACGATAGTTTGTGTGTCTGTTTTCATTTAATTCCATATGTGAGCATTTACTCAAAACTGGGACACTCGGTGAAAAAAAAAATAATATATTGGCATATTGTTTCAAAAGTTCATATATTTTTCCTCATAAAACTGAATTTCAAAAAAAAAAAAAATTTATTAGCGGTAAGTGCATTATTGAAAACTTTTCACCTTAATTTCAGCATTTTACATTTATAAATATTAATAAAAAAGATTTTTTTATTGTTAAGCTTAACCTAAAGATGAATTTAGTTTAAGTGAAAAGCTTTTAAACCAGTAGAAATATACTCCATTTTATTTAGATATCAACCCAGACGTTTTACTTGTTCAATTTTAAATTTGTCATTAATAGATAAAGGAAGTCACAACAACATGATGAGAAAGCTAATATTTATTTTATAGATCAGATGTTTAGTCAATAACATAGTTGTAGCTAAAAAAGCTTGGATTTCAATACCATTTATGACACTTTAGGTCTGATAAATCTACTATAAATAATATCTAGTGTTCAATATAAAACTATTGTATATTTTTTTCGGAGTAAAACTGTTGAAAAGCACGTAGAATCTCTCTTCACAGTGGTGGTGTAAAGGTAAGGTGAACTCAATAGAAAACCAAAGAGAAATCAAATTTTAAATAGCTCTTCTATATAATGCTGAATTCCAGATAAAGAAAGACTAAGGCTACTAAGGACTAATTTCGAGGTACATATATCATATATAAGGAAATTTATTGTCACTAATTTTTTAAAATCTTCCTTAAAAATAGATTTGTTTAATCTATATCAAAGGTCGTAGTTTAGAACTCTATGGTTTTAAAGAAGACCCGAGGGTTTTCGAATAAATTTCCATATAGTCGTTGAACAGGTTGGACCATTACTACATATATAGTTCGCAGTTTTTGTAGATCCCTATATACATATATACATATATTGGATGAGAATGAGGTGCTCACAAATATGAAAGGAAACTTGGTCAGGCAACTACAATTAAGGTATATACTAATAAAAATATAAACAATACGATAAAGTTTAGTTTAGACTTCAGAAAAATTCTCATTCAAAAAGCAACATAATTCTGTTAGAGCAGAAAATTTATAAATAATATTTGTATGCTGCGAAAATTATTCAGAAGGACTATAATCATATCCGATAAGACGGCAACACACATGGCAATATTTTATTTTAACTAAGTCAATAGAAGCTTCCATTGGACTTCTTAATTAGAACGGGTTTAAAGATTTTTTTTTTTTGAAATATAACCTTATATTCTTACCAACTGTTTTAAATGTTCCTTTAGCTATAATTTTCTGCTTTAAATCGATTTTTAAAATCTGCCTTTTTTAGATTATATTGGAACTTATAGAACTTAGTCAAGCAATTTTTTTCTTATACTATTGTATTCAAAATTTTATGGATGGCCTTTAATGCTTTCAGCGATTGTCTTTTATTACTGTGGTGAAAATTTCAAATCTGCTACACAAATCCGGTCGTTTACGAAGAATTGCTTTAATTAGACGCCTTAAAATGGCCATGTAGTAAAAATAAAAACTTTGCAGACATATCTTTCGCTTCGTAAACAAACAACTGTCAAACACACATTAATTGACATATGAAGATAAAACTTCACACAAAGCAGTTTAGATGGGTTAGTCCGAGTCAAATTTGATCAGACGGTAATTATTTTGCTGTATGTACAGCTAATGTGTTCCTATTGCGCAAATAACTTGTGAACGCATTTGTGCAAGTATGCCTGTCAATTTCACAATTCACAAATAATTTCTGCACTCCCCCTATGTGAGTTTATAATCCTTCTATGTATAAAAATAAATATATTTTAAACAAAATAATTTTATGACACATACGTAGATAAGTACATACATACACACATGTACTTATAGAAAAGAAATGATGAAAGCTTTGAAGATTTTTATCGTGAACTTTCAGAGGCAAAGATAACAGTTAAATACTAATAAAACAACCTGTAATCAATGCACTAACAAATTCAAGCAAATAGCGGAACAACGTTTTTTAATGATACCGTTATATAATTGTGTGTGGGTGTCCATAAAAAAAACTGTTCCGGGTATATGTAAGCATGATTCGCAGCAAAAGTATTTGAATAATGACAGTGTGTATTTCAAGTTTCGTAGTATTTCACATTCGCTAATCTAAATTGGAAAGTGCTAGTTCTAACTACAACTATCACTTGTGTTTCTTTTTTATTCTTTAATATCCTGTACTGTCCCTTAACAACAACCACTCAAGGCATTGTTATGACTGTCTACTTCGCAGCACTCAAGCAGCTCTTCACTTGATAGTTTAATTACAAACGTGCTTTTAAGTATTTTTTTAAGTAAATAAATTTCGACTCTATTGTTATCTTATTTTTAACTTTTTCATAGAAAAGCGCATACATGATAAGTACCATACTTAAATGTAGGTAATTAGATTAAATATTTATAATTTATGTGATTATTTATATATTCCTTTAATTTGTTTCTGATTTGATTTTTTAATCCTTGCTTCAAGCTAAAATTATTTTTATATTTGTGCGAAATTGTTTTTGATCGATCAGTTTGTAGGACAGATATATGCTATAGTGGTCCGATATCGGCGGTTCCGACAAATGAACGGCTTTTTGGAGAGAAAAGGACATGTGCCAAATTTCAGATGGATATCTCGAAAACTGAGGGACTAGTTCGCAAACATATATACAGGTTGGTTGTGAAGTGTCTGCTCTCACCAAGAAATAGCACTACTATTTTATTTTCTCAAGCTGGTACATCTGTCGTGAGCACACATGCAAAGTTACAAGTCATTCTGACAGTTATCTTTTTGTTTGCAAGTCATTTCAAGTTGACGTGTCAAAATATTTTTTTAATATGGATATAATAGAATATCGCACAATTGTTAGAAGTGTGTAATGAGTCTTCACCTGGCTGGTGAGTTTAAACGTGGTTATACTAGGCTTGAAGACGATCCACCCAAAGGATGACCAAAAACCGCAACCACACCGGAAATCATTGAGCAAGTTCATAATATTGTTAGTGGAGATCTAAGTTTGACTAAGCGTGAAACTGCTAACGAACGAGTACTTCATATTTTAAATGGAGAATTACATATAAAAAAGCTGTTTGGAAAGTTAGTTCCGCACACGTTAGCAATTCAACAAAAACGGGATCGAAAACAAATTTCTCAGCATAATTTGACGCGTTTTAAGCAGAATAAAACCGATTTCTTGTGTCGTTTTATAACTATGGATGAGACTTGGATCTCGTTTGCAGTTAACTGAAGCTGGTTGTTCAGCTCCAAAGCAGGTGAAGTCACAACGATCAGCAAAGGAGGTTATGGCATCAATTTTTTGGGATGTCAAAGGAATTTTGTTAATTGATTACCTGCAGAAAAATAAAAAAATTAACTCGGAATATTATTGCAGCTTATTTGATCAGCTGGATAAAAAAATGCGTGAGAAAAGATGTGGTTTTCAACGCAAAAAAATAATTTTTCATCAAGACAGCATTGTCTCACAGAGGTGTTTTAACATTAACAAAATTCAACGAATTAAAGTACGAATTGCTTAAGCATCCATCGTATTCACCAGATTTGGTTCCCAGCGACTAACTACCTCTTCAGAAAACTGAAACAATTCCCTCGTGGAAAGCGTTTTTCGTCGAATTAAGAAGCTATTACAGCCGAGGACGGGAATTTTGCAGAGCTTCCGGAAAGTCATTATAGGGATGGCATAAAATTATTAGAGGATGATTGGAATAAGTGTATTGAAGTTAAGGAAGATTATATTGAATTAAAAATTTTTTTTCATAGCAAAAACGGTATTTATTCATTTCGAGCGCAGAAAATTTTCATTCAACCTGTATAGGCAGACAGACGCACAAACAGAGCAACATTGATTAATGAATCGAAGTTCTAAACTATGTTTAAAATCTGAATGATATCACTAATGCTCAACATTTATTAATCTGGTCATATATCTGTTCTTTAATTTGAAAATAGTATAAAATTATTTTGACTATGAGTTTCTACATTAATTCAAATATTGTGAACTCACCAATATCACTTTCCAAGTCCTTTATAAAAGCTGGATTATCCATTTTCTATATTTTTTTTAATTTTCGTAATTATTATTTTTTAGTTTTATGTTATTTGCGGCCTCTTCACAAATCACACACTTATTTTAGCTCAATCAGTGAGCTATTTCTTGCTCGAATTAAATATTAAAAAAACTATAATTAATTATGAAAATTATTAATTTAGTAAAATTACAAACACAAAATTAGCAACGCTGCAACTATAAAACAACTGTATAATTTTTCTTATGAAAATATTTTTGACACAAGGTAGCAGTTATGAAAAGTTAATTAAAATTTATAACTAATTAATTTTAATTATTAATTAATATTAACTTTTTAAATTATTTAATTAAATTAATTAGTTATAAATTTTAATTTAACTAAATTAAATTAAATTAATTTTTAATTAAGTTTTTTAATTAAAGAATTATTATTTTGCACTTTTTCACTTGCACACACACACACATACACAAACGCTTACTGTTACTTTAACTGTTTAGCCTGTGCCAAATAATTAGCATCACTTTTAGTTGGATAACCCGTTAAAGTCACCTCACGCTTCGCACGTCAACTGAAAGCGGCGATCTCCTGACACTGCATTTTAATGTCGAAATGATAAACATAGCGATGATATGACAAAGCTAATTTTCCCACATAAACTTTTGCTTACACAGCTATCAGGTATTTACAGGCACACACAAACACCCATGCATATAAACATACAAAAGTAAATGCGTTCATACATACACACACAATATAGATTCTAAGCGACTAATTTGTGCGCAGAACTTGTTAACACAACTGATAAAAGTGAGCAACAATAAATGCACATACATACACACATATATGCACATAAAGGGTTTTTTAATACATACATATATATAATCTATATATACATACATATGTACATACATAGACTTCTAGACATTTAATTCTGTTTGTAATAATTAAGCGAATATATTTATGTAAGTACACACACTCATCTCATATGGCAATAATAACGGCACAAGATTGTAATATTTCTTCATTATCATTTCGCTTAGAAAAGGATTAAGACATTCCTTGAACTTCAACTTTTTTTTTATTTATTTAAACGCACTTGTGTAAATATGTCAAAATACATCCCTATAATTGTATATATTTAGGCCAAATGCATGTTGCTTTATGAAATATGTATATATATATATCTAAAATATGCGTAATTTATTCTAAGCATATTTATGTTTGTGTGTCTGTTTGCACACTAGATCGCTTCACCAGCTCGCAGTTGCTATTTGCATCCGCCGCTACTAGTATGATTTGTGTTACTCATACGCCACCGCCACACAGTACACTCGTATACATACTTTCATATGTATGGTAAGTGCACAGTGGCGTGGTAGGGTATGTTTGAAATTGTTTTTCAATAGAAAATCATAAAATTGTAAAGAAATACAAATTAATCAGTAATCAAATCTCAGATCGATATCTCAAAAACTGAGGGACTAGTTCGACACGCTAAGCATTTATCTATATACCTTATAGAGTCTACGTGGTTGAGATCAACATTCGGTGTTTACATAATATGATCCTCATAAGATGCAGCCGCGATGATATTATGCCCGTAATATGGTTCAAACCCATATAGAAATTGCGAGCTGAAAATAGTTCGGTTTTATTTAATTTCATTATTTTTTCTAGTTTTTAATTAAAATAAAATTTCTAGAATTTTTAAATATTCGTGAAATACGCACTTACTTAATTTATTTTAATAAGCCACATTACTAAACACTTCAAAATATTATCTTAATGAGAGCGGATTAAAACTGTTGAGTTTAGGAAATTGTACCCTGAACAGGGTATATTAAGTTAGCCACAAAGTTTTGTAACACCCAGAAGGAAACGTTGGAAACCCTATAAAATTTATATATTATATAAATGATAAGCATGATGAACTGAGTCAATTTAGCCATTGCCTTAAATTGGAGGTTCCAACTCACCATCTTATCCGGATGTCTGACTACCTCAGCCATTCAACAGGTTATAGAACTGTTTCTCATAACTTGAGACCTTTCTTGGTCTCAATCACCAGAAAATTTTTAGTTTTATAAACAATCGTTTTACTTCCTGATCAAATTTGATCCGGACTGGCAAAAAAATATTATATTTTCGCGTATTTTAATACAAATCTTGATTATCGCCTTCAAAATAGGCTCCTGAGCCAATACAAACATATCAATTCTTTATCAATTTTCCATACACTTGTTTAAGCCTGGGCTAAGGAGGCCTAAAGTGCCTTCAGTGAATTTTGGTTTTTCAGGGCTATACACTAGATTGTTGAATAATTTCGACGTCATATTCAAAAACCAAGCTCTCGACACCATTAATGATGCATTTGATGCATGTAGGGTTCTCAGTTACGCTGTCTCTTTTGCGAACTCTACTGGACGACATTTTGGATCAAAAATCTTTTTTTTCTTTGTTTCTTTTTTTTTTTTGAGATAGAAGGGTGTATATGACTTGAGTTAAAAGCAAAAACAGTATTTCATAAGATTTTGAAATACAACGGTGAGCCAATAAAATAAACAAAAATTTATCATCTTACAAAGGATGAGACATATTAATGATGAAGTTTTAGTGAATGAACTAAAAACTCTACTTCTTTTGTATATATATTAAATGTACATATAATATATTTCAGAATATTCTCCGATTTTTTTTTGTTATTTAACTTAGTATAACCGGCTCACAAAACTTTAAACGTGTTTTTCTCGAAACGCTGTTTTCAGAATCGGTGAAGAAACTTTCTCCGACTTGGAAGTTTCCCACTACCTTCTTAGATATATATGTCATCCCATCCCCGATTATTAAATAATTTATTAAATGAAATTCCGCTTCAAAGAGAAAAAACAAATCACGAAAAAACCCGCTTTTCCTGGCTTGCAAGTGAATATAACCCCTTAACTCAGTTTTTACCTATAAAAGTTCTTGAGCTCATACCACTATAAATAATTAAAATATCCCAGAAAATTATAGTCGACATATGACGAAGCTACAATTTATAGGAAAATCGTTAAAACTTCCTTTCTTTTTAATCCCCATGAGGTACTTAAGTGTGCAACCTTTTATTATCCACATATTAACTCTTTCCTTGATATACTGAGCGGGTCTAAAGTATCGCTAAAGTAAAGTAAGACTTACAAAGCAAAGACTAATAAATAGAAAGATAAGAATTTATAAATTACATACTTACTTTGACTTTTTCTAATATGTATATTTCATGTTATTAATTTCTGTATTGATTTAGAAATATTTTATTAAACATAAAATGTATCCACTCCATGTATGATCTAACGGAAATTTTGCAACAAAACTTAAATATACAAAATAAGCTTAATCTACACTTTTTACCAAAATAATCACCAACATAAATCTTCTGAGATAAGTACATTTAGTATGGGTGTGACAAACAGGACAGCATCAACAACATCCGCCAAGATTACCGTTGTATTTTTGTGGACCATAAAACTACATATATCTTAGCGTTTCGAAGATAAACACTGAAGTGGGCGAAAGCAAGTGATAGATAAGAGATATACAAATATGACAGTAGTCACTTTTCGATTTCTCAGCAACATCCTCTACTGATAAGCACTCAAGCATACGAGTATACCTATAATAACAATATACTTGTAGGTATGCAGTATACTTTATATAGAATAGATTTTGTTGGACGAGAAGAAGAAAAAAAATTCATGCTCTGAACGATTCCGAGAATTCGGGAATTGTTAAAACCCATTTGAAATCTATTCTCTTCTAAGTTGAGTTCATATTAAAACAGATAAGTAACAAATTATTGATTATCCTCTAACATTTTATAATATTCTCTTAGTAGTTTTGTAATTGTAGTGGTGATAGCAGTTCTTGGTGGAATTTAAATCTGGGTTCATTCTGATTGCTATCTTGGGAATGGATCCAGTACGCTGTTTACATATAGTTGGCCAAATTTATGTCGTAAGGTTTAAAACCATACTCTAAATAGTAATAAGCAGGTAAGGTAAAGAATCGAAAATCGTGCCATTTTAACAAGCGTTGTTTCATCGCCCCGTGGAAAAAGTTCCGCTCCAAGCAAGTGTTTGCTATGATTGAGGGGTAATTTTCGTAGTTAAGTACAGTTGATGAGGCATTAAAAACCATTGTCATTCTCACGCTGTTCAATCTTTTCTTGAAATAAAATATCGGGTGAATTTTGTTGTTTTTGTAGTGGCTAAAACTATTTCCCAAACAATTTTGAGAAATGCCGCCGAGTTTCCAGTCTTTGATCCGATAAAAAAATCCGGGTTCGTTTAGGTTATGTGGACACGTCTGTCATTAGAACGGTCCTTAGTGGGATCCATGCCAATTACGAATACTCGACTGACATGGTAACGAATCTCAATTCATGACCGTTTATTAATAAAGAGTGGAGAGTCATTTCATTCGTTTCCATTCTTCCGAATTCTGTAATACCTTACAACAATATGTTTCCATAAAAGTGTATTTAATCTCACTCATAAAAAAGTAAATAAAACTGTATACAATAGTTTTTTTTTTTTTTGTATTTGAAGCGATAACTATGAATCGTTATACACGTGTCATACATTTTTTTCTATTTCTATGTAAAGTTTGGTAGTAGTATTAGTAGTTTTAGCTTCATTACTTGAATAATTGTTTTCGCAGCGAATGTGCAGCTAATTAAAGGCGTAGCAGTTTATCAGATATTTTTTATACTCTCTGGCCGTCCGTCCGTCTGTGCAAGCTGTAACTTGAGTAAAAATTTAGATATGAAAACTTTATGAAACTTGGTACACATATTACTTGGTACCGTAAGACGGTTGGTATAGCAGATGGGCGTAATCGGACCACTGTCCCGCCCACAAAACGCCATTAATCAAAAACAAATAAATTGCCTTAACTAAGCTCCGCCCACTTTCAAGTGAAACCCAATATCTTGAGATCTGCTTAACCGATTTCAACAAAATTCAGTACATAACATTTTTCTCATATTTCTATGTTATAATGCGAAAATGGACGAAATTGAACACCATTTTGAATTCCATCCGATTCTTTCACAAATCAAGCAACAATGATTGTATCGGGGTAAAAATTTGTGCCTTTGAAGTACAGCAAAAATTGTCTAAATCGAACCAAAACTGTTCCAGCCCTTAGGTACTGAATATGTGGACCCCACTGCCTATAGTCGACTTTTCACCGAAAATATCGGTCAATGTGTAAGATATATAATTGAAATTCATATAATAAAATAAATAAATGAAACTCTCGATAATATTATGTTTTTCAAAATGTTGTCAAAACTGGGTTGAATCGGATCAATACTTCCTATAGCTCTCATATAGCTAATATAATTTCTCATAATTTGAGAAAATTTAGTTTACAAATTTCTCTAATTAATTTCACTGTGAATGTAAATAACTAAGGCTTAGAAGTAGGAACTGTTCTACTTCTAATTATTATAATATATAAAGAAATCTCAAACGAGTATATCATTTGACTTTGCGAGAGTATATAATGTTCGGTTACATCCGAACTTAGCCTGCTTATTTTTCGGAAGCGCCGATATCGAGCTGCCATTCAAACTGAACGATCAAAAGTAAGCTCTTGATGAAAAGCTCTTTTTTTTGAAATTATATCTTCACGAAAATCTCCAGGGACTATTGTTGTTGTTGTTGTATATCCGGAAGCTTTCCGGTGACGTAGACTCGACTGTCGTGGTGACAGGATTATTGTGGAAAGCAACGTTACAATCTCCGAACAAATTATTCAGATCAGACCACTATAGCATATAGCTACCTTACAAAATAACCGATAAAAATCAAGTCGTTGTATGGAAAACTTCTATTTATTTAGTAGTTAGTAATTAATAGTAGTATAGCTTCGGTGCAGTCGAATTTAAACTGTTTTCCTTGTTTTAGTAGAACTTATTTGTCTAGTACACTCTGTCTTACTTACTAGTGGCACTAAATGTTTGCACAAAATTCCTATTCAAACTGAACGAACCCGGAAGTTAAATCGAACAATAATAGTCACCAATCACCAATAATCAATATGTTTACGCAGACTGTTTTAATTCAGCTTCCGAAAAAATAAAATAAAAAATATGTAAAACAAAGGGTAAACTAGAAAAACACTCATACAAAATTTGAGAGCGTTCAACCCTGACCATGACTGGCATAAAAGAAAAACAGTGCAAATATAGTTTATTGAATTAAAAAACCTATTTCACCATTTACACAACTGTTTTTAATTTTTATTGCTGCTTAGCACGTCAAATGACTTTTTTTTATGGGCAAAATAAAAACGAGACGAAAACAATTAATGTTCGCCTTAAATGAAAAAGGAAAGCAAACATAATTAATTTTTTTTTTCAAATATAGTACATACATATTTCCAATTTTAATTACGTTCAACTAACCTACAAATGTTTATACAACATAGTCACACACAGCGCACACAACGGTGTTTACAATCTTACAACTAAAGTGCTTTGCATTTCACTTAAAATCAAATGGCGGCGCATCACGGCACGTGTATGGACCCATGGGCGCTATAATGACTTGTATTGACAAATTGTTGCGCTCGCCACCAATTAGGTGGGGGCTCAGCTTAATGGAAGACAACGCCAACTCATCGTAGGGTATTAGGTTGTCCACATTCAACACGCGCACCTTATTCGAAAAATACTCGGTACGTTCGTGTACGGTGAGAATATGATCGATTTTATTTTGTACACCAGTGATCAGCACAGCAACCTAAAGGTATAGAAAAATGCAAAAAGCAGAATATTAATATTGTTACATTAGATATATGTACATATATGCGCAGGCAATATTACCTTAAAACGCTCCTCATCAAGTTGGGGGTATTTGCAAGTGACGCGCAGGCGTACAGTTTTCAACGAAAATTCCGGTACATCTTCACCCCAAATAATTTTCGCTTTGTTGTATTTAACACCGCGCGGAAAGAATTCAATCTCCCAAGTTATTGTGTGATCTGAAACAAATGAAAGATAGAAGTAGGTTAGTATACAGCAATAATACCGTTCACAAATAAAAAAGCTTTCCATGCAAGAACTTGATTTTAATGGTTTTTTTGGAAATTTTCAGATCGATATCTTAAAAACTAAGGGATTAGTTCACTTATATACAGACAGACGGACTTACAGACATGGCAAATCGGCTAATTTCGTGGCTCTGATCATTTATATATATTTTTTATAAGGTCCCCAACGTTTCGGACGGTTAATATATACCGAACAGTGCATACAAAATAAAGAGAGACCATTAAATACTCACCATCTTCAGTTTCGGCAATGTTGCGTTGCGAAAAGAAGCACGTCACGTAATTTGTATATTTTTCGATTTGATCGAACTCTTTCACATGTATGCTAACGCTCCAAGTATCATTGGAATAGAGACGTGGTGTAAATTGCAGCATGCCCTCAGATGAATAACGCACCTCACGTACACGGTCTTCCTGCCCCGACTGATAGCTCATACCTGCAAATACGTGAAATAATGCACGTCAATAAAATATTTTATTTTAGTTAATGTAAATAACAACATCACTCGCCTATTGCCATGCGTTGCACAATATACTCTTTGTGAAACTCCAGCAGAGGGAACAGGAGCAGATGCGCCAGTTCACGCGGCGTCATCATTGCAAATCGTATATGCACCACTGTCTGCTCTACCAGCTGCAAGAATGCGGTACTTTTCTCTTCCAAGGTGAGCGTCTCATCATTGTCGTAGACTTCTTTGCGGTGCAAGAGCCAACGTTGCAATATGCCAAAGAGCTGGTACTCGCTGGTGACCACAATGTCGTTCTGTTGCAGCAGCAGCACCATAATTGCCGCGTCCAATTCTACAAAGTCTTTTGATTCGCTCACCATTTCTAAATTCCATTTCAAAAATCGCTTCAATGTTTCGGTGAGTTCTTTATGGTAGGGACTAAAAGCAATTGTGTATTGCAGCCAAGAGACGAGGTAACCTTGTGTGGCTGCCTTAGCGATGTGTTTCATCATGTAATCAACACAAAGCTCTACAAGGTCCTGTAAAATTTATGATTGATGTAAGTTGTGATTGATGCATGCAACGCATACTCTTCCATTACTCACCTTGACATTGTATTTGTCAGCTAAAGCTAGCATTGGCATCACCGTCTGCAGTGAAATTTTTATTTGGCCAACATACAAGTATTTTAAGAACTGTGGGAAAACAGCCGTGCAACAGGGTTCTTCAACTAATTCGATAACATGTTTGCGACACTCATTCCATTGCGGATTCATGAGCATCACCTGAAACACTTCACTACTGGCGCAGAGTATAACACGATGTGCGGGATATTGTTCATTGCCTACCACTAAAATTATGTCGGACATCAATTGTTCGGCATACAGATTGGCTATCTTTTCCAAGACACTTTGCGAGTTGTTCATCTATAGTTACAGAAAAATAAATCAATATAATAAGAGTTGTTAAATTTAGTTATCACTTCAACATACAACACTTGAATCCTGACTATGCTCTTCACCTTCCTCCATTTTTGTTGTTGTTGTGTTTCGTTTATGGTCTTTGCTGTTTTTGTCCCCATCACCACCAAAATCTACCGAATCGTCCATAATGTTGGTGTCAAAAACAGAAATGTGTGCTCCCCCAGGCTCATTCACGTAACGAACAAACGTTTTAGAAGCACTCAAAGACACACTCACACCTTTTAAATGTTTATTTGTTTTTATGAAAATATATTTTTATCTATATAAATAAATTTTGTTGAATTCAAGTAATTTTGTAACAACACTTCTTTCAATTTATCATTCAATACACAAAAGAAATTGTGAACGGAGGAAGGGCTAATAAAAACAAAACAAAATACAATTAGGGTTGCTATGTTTGATATATTCCAATTGGAAAATTGTAGTATGAAGGTTAAACACAGAAGTAAAATAAAACATTTAAAATCATATCAGAACATAGTGAATTCATTATATTTTATTTTTATTTTCAATAATAATATTTAATAACAATTAAAATATAATTGACAGTATGCTATAATACGCGACCTCTCTCAAAAATTGTATGCATCATGGAAAAATACCCACACTGCTCTTATGCAATGCATCCCTACCAATTGGATTATTTCTTATCATCAAATGTCTATGAAATAATTGTGTCAAAATGAATTGAGGTATTTTTCCTCAAAATTTGCGAGGTAACTTTTGTTTTTTTTACGAATCTGTTGAAAAACTATATGGATAGCAAATAAAGCAGCGAAATGCAATTAAAGTATCGTGCACACTAATTATCGCGAGTGGCGGCGGCTATTTTAACATTTGTATTTCATCATAATTTAAATTTTTTTTTGCGCCGGTTTATCAGTGCCCTACAATTGTGTAAAGTCAACGTTGAGTAATTTGAATATGAAGTCGGAAGTCGTGCCTAAGACAACAAATCTTCTATTGGAAGACCCTAAATTTCGCATACGACCTTTACAGCAAGTAGTCTCTGCCTGCACAGGTGCACTCATTACAGCATGTTTTAGTAAGTATTAATTTAGTTTATTCATACATAAATACGATGTTTGCTAATATTTTATAACTTTTGCAGTGACGCCATTAGACGTGGTAAAAACGCGCCTGCAAGCACAACAAACCGCTACAAATAAGTGTTTCCTCTATTGCAATGGTTTAATGGATCACCTTTGTCCATGTGATCCGAATATGCCCAATCAACTTAAACCTGAAAAGCGTTTGAATGGCACAATTGTATGTAAAAATATTTCATTGAAGACACACATACATACAATCGAATGCGTTTATAATAACTACAATTAACATATGTATGTTTTTTCACATAGGATGCATTTGTTAAAATTGCACGACACGAAGGTGTTGGTTCGCTGTGGTCTGGCCTAAGTCCCACACTTGTATCAGCGCTACCATCAACAATTGTTTATTTCGTCGCCTATGAACAGTTCAAACAACATGCGCTCGAATTCCACTACAAATATTTAGCCGAGGTAAAGGGCTCGCCACGCGGTCGAGAGATACCTTTCCATATACCAATGCTCAGTGGAGTGTCGGCGCGTGTTTGTGCGGTCACTTTTGTTAGTCCGTTAGAGCTGATTCGCACAAAAATGCAGTCACAAAAAATGAGCTACGACGAAATTGTCTCCACTGTGCGTGTGGTTATGAAAACGCAGGGTTTCTTCGGCTTGTTTCGTGGTTTGCCACCAACAATTCTGCGTGACGTGCCCTTTTCTGGTATATATTGGACTTGCTATGAGAATATTAAAAGCATGTTCGGTGTACAAGAGCCAACATTTGGTTTTAGCTTTATGGCAGGTGCTATCTCTGGCTCGGTAAGTTAAACTGAGTAGTGTTATTTCTAATAATATAAAAGTGCTTTAGTATTGCACAATTTAACATCAAAACTATTGAACGAATTAAAATGTTCAGTGTTACTTCTCGATAACGAACCAGCATTTTGAAAAAACCATTGTTTATAATATCTCATCTATGATATCTTATCTTATTTATTTTTTTATTTTTTTTTTTTTTGTAAAAAATAATTGCAGTTGGCGGCGACCATTACAACACCATTCGATGTTGTCAAAACACATGAACAAATTGAATTTGGCGAAAGGGTTCTTTTCACAGGTAAGAAAATAAATTTAATTTAACTTTTATTTAACAGTACTTACTTCTTTTCGATTTTTTTAGACAAACCAGCCGCTTATGTCTCCAATATGAATGTAAGACAGCGGCTATGGTCTATTTATCGCTTAAATGGCCTAAAAGGTTTATTTGCGGGTCTATGGCCACGTTTATTAAAAGTGGCGCCAGCTTGTGCCATAATGATTTCAACTTTTGAATACAGCAAGGCATTCTTTTATCACTACAATGTGGAGAAGCACAATGAGGCCTTGTTAATATCAAACCAAAAAGAGAATGATGCTTGAAAATTATTGAGACATTGTGATACTATACCTAAGTTTCTGTAAAACTAAACAAAAATTGCTACCAATCCAAGGGAAACGTTGAATAATTACTTGATCATGAAAATAATTCATTGAAGTGGTTGGAATCGTAATGAAGTGTAAATGTAATATATAATTTGATATAGTCATTTGTACCTTTTAATATTTTTGTCTAGTTCGTAAAATTTGATATTTATATATTGGTATTTTCATTGTTCTTAACCTCAATAATGCCGCCAACCGTTATAATGGTAGTTAGCACAAGTTACCTAATTATCTGTGTACATCTTCATTTGAATCGAAGAAATTCAAAAGATATGCGTTTATCTATTTTTACAATATACGAGCAGAAACAAGTGCAAAAAGCCATGTTCAATATTATGTAAATAAACACTGCTTGTGTGGCTTAAAGCAATAATTCACAATTGCTAAACCCTAATATTTAAATGTATTCATTTATGACTAAAATAATCGGTAAGATTCAAATATACAAAAGTGAAAGTTTCAAAACGAGTGAAATAAAAGCAAAACTTAACAGTGCATGTGAAAGTGTATATAATTTAAACTCGTTCAAAAACTAAAAAAAAAGAAATTGGATAGGTGCTCATTTAAAAAATTTACCGATAAATTTATTGTATCGATATTTGCAGTTAAGTTTACAATTGTATCAGTTTCTAGTCAAATACAAAAAATGCAACCTTAAATATTTTGTGGATCTTAATTCTACTGCCAGATTACTAGTGGAATGAAGAAATGTCAAACTTCTAATAAAAAATAATAACACGTGTGTACGTATTTAATTAAATTCAAGAAAATAATTTTCAAATTAGCAACATGACCGAGGAAAATCAAGACGTGACAACCGAAGAAATCGAGCAAAAGACGGACAAGCCCGTAGAAAATAAAGAAACCAATGAGAATGTTCCCACAAATGAACCAGCTTCTGAGCCAACAAAAGTTAAGAAACAATCGGCGGTGAAGAAGCCAACAAAAAAGAAATCCACTGAAAACAACCCAATACGCGGTTTACCCAAGTCTGGACGTCCATGGAAAACACCAAAGCAAAAGTAAGTTTCAGGGTAATTTGCACAATATTAAAATAATTTACGGAAACGAATACATTTGCCAACAGGTTTGCAACTATTAAGAAGTCTACAAAGCGTTTATCATTCGAAAAGAAAATGGAGCTGCGTAATGAACTGAGGCATATAAAGGAATTATCGAAGGATATAAAAGAGCAGCGCAAGGAAGCGGCCGTGCAAAAGAATCAAAGACGTGTGGAAAATGCTGAACGCCGGTTGGCCAATGAGCGGCGAGCTGAAGTTGTGCAGATAATTAAGAATCCATCTAAATTGAAACGTTTGAAGAAGAAGCAAATGCGTATGATTGAGAAACGCGATGTTAGTCAAGTGAAAGTGGTGTAATTGAGCTCGTAGAATGAATCCTAAAGGGTAGCCTAGTAATCAGCTCAAAGCGGGAGGGTAGATTAAGTTTTGTAGTTACTATACATATGTATATTTTTGTAAAAAGAAAATTGCAAAATTGAGTGTACTGAAAACATAATATTTAGATGATATTGTGAAGGAGATTTCATTATTTAAACTCTACTGGTGCGTGTTCATGCATTTACTAATAAATATCTGTCAACACGAATAATTGGATTTATTATTTCAACAGCGAAGCCACTGCGCATCCACAATTGCCTCTATGTAATAAAAAACAAGCACCAACTTTAAATTTTAATATTACTAATCTATATAACACCCAATTATTCAGCTAACAGAACAAGCAATTCTAATAAACATTGAGAAAATCAAATACGGGGCTCCCCGATTTTTACAGCCATATAAACATGGTTATAAATATGACCATATAAAAAAATATATTAATATTATATATAATATAATAAACGCGTTTTGTTCTGACTTGGTGCATATAACCTCATAATTTAAGATTATTAGACAATGGTGATTTTACAATAAACAAAGTTCTTCTTAACGAACATACTGTTGAAGTTTATTTCACATTTATTTTCGATATAGGATAGTATTTCTTTTTATATTTGATTTAATGCTACTTTTAATACAGTATTTAAAATATTATTCTCTTTTATTGTTATCTTTATTTTTTGCAGTGGATTAAATAAAGCACTTTTGTTTGGTGGAAATAGTATTTATCCGTTAATACGGATTTTGCAATGTTACTCTTACGCATAACCTTCAAATACGCAGAAATTATAGCGAATGCATTTAAAGAACGAACAAAAAAGAGGGAAATGAGAAGAATGAAACTATAATAAACCGTAACTCAAGTAAACAAAAGTAAATTCAAACAATTTTTGGTTATGCTTCCGATTAGGTCATCCTCTGATATGCTGCAAAATTCACGCAGACGTTCATTAGGTCAATTGGTTAAGGTCAAAAGGTCCCATGTGTCTTTATTGGCGGAAATTAAAAAAGTTGCATCTTTTTTTTGGGTCGGCAAGAAAATTTAAAAAAAATATATACATACATAAATTTTTTTGAATTTTTTTTTTTAAATTACCAAAAAAGGGATCATAGGCGATTGAATAGAATTGTTTTTTAACTTATTTTGAATTTCTTATTTATTTATATAGGAAATTTTTAGGTTTTTTTTTTATACAAATTTTATTTGTTTTAATTTTCACTATTTTTGAAAAAAATGTCCACCAAAAAGATACATGAAAAAGTGTTTTTTATCACATAAGGAATCTCTGCGTAAATTTGAAAACAAATCAGATAAGTAACCTAATCGGAAATATAGCCCAATTTTCAATACAAATAAAAGAAAAAGCTCATTAAAATAAAACTCAATAAACATATGTATGTGTTTCATAGTGTAATTTAATATCAATTTAAATACAAAAAATGTTTGGTTTTTCACTTCATTTTTTCCTTTCCAACATCCGTTTTAATACATTATATAAGATCTGCAATATAAATTTTTACGAATTCCAGCACACTTGCGTAGAATCAAATAAACAAAGTCGAAATAACGTAAAAAATTAGCGAAAATAATTAATCATAAGAATATTAATTAATATTGTTTTTTTCTTTCTTTTAAGTAGTTAAAATTAATGTCCAAAAAGAATAATTTGTTGCAGCGATTTTGCTGTTGCGTTTTAGCTGCACCTTCGGACCTCTAATTGACAACTGTTGTATCCGCTTTGCTGCTAGTTGTTGTTGTTGTTATTGTTCTTGTTTGCTTGCTGGCGGCAGTTGTTGCTAATAATTTCGTTGTTGTTGCTGTTGTTTCTGGATTAATTTACTTATGTGCAATGGGAATCATGGTTTCGCCGGCGGTGATGGCGGGCAGTGGCGCTTCCACGGTCAACACGCCATCCTTGCTGAGCGACGAGCGTATGGACTCGGGATTGACGCCCTTTGGCAAGAGGAACTCGCGATTGTACTCCCTGTAGACGCTCTTTGTGTCCGATTTCTCTTCGTGTTTGGCGTGCACCTGTGTGAAGCAAGAAAACAAAAAAAAAAAAAAATAAATAAAAATTATCGGTGAAAGTTTCAGCATTAGAAGTGACTTATTGCCTATTTTTATTTTGTCAATATTTATGTCTTTACTATGTACGTCTGTAATATTTGTTCACGATCTTTTGCAGAGGTTGAATTTTATGTAGAGTAGCACATAAAAGCGTGTGGGCCTGTGTCCGACTACTTTTATGGCATATGATTCATTTGAATCTGAAGTGTGCATTTTGACTATGCAGTCGTTGCTTGCATGCACATATACATAAACGAGTATGTACATATATGTGTGTGTATTGCTTTTCGCCTTCATAATTTTTAACAAGCAGAATTTCAACACTCACTTTGCCATGATTTAATGAAGTGAAGCGACACAGCGTCACAAAATTTGCCGTTACTTGTTATTTAGCGCACGCAGAGGCGTTTTAGCAAATGCAATAACAACAAAAAGTATATATATGTAAATGTGAGTGTGTATTTTTAGGCGAAATTTGCTTACTGCCGGGGCAAAGGTAAAATTATAAGGAAATTCGATTTGTTAACAGAAAAAATTTACATAAAAAGATAAAAAAAATTGGAAAAAAAGCAATAAAGAACTGAAGCTAAATTAAATGTTATACTAAAATTTAGTAAACCAAAAAACAAAAAAAAGCAATTACAAACAAATACAATTAAATTGTATATAATACAGTTATTATAAATAAACAAAATTAAATAATAGAAAAATTCAAAAATATTTTAATTAATTTAAAAAAAATTGTGAATTACTTGTTTAGTGCCAAATTTAACTCGCAAAGCTATGGAAGCTGATAACATATTGAACCTTATTTAAAAAAAAAATGATTTTACTATTACTAATATTTTTATTATTGTTATAATTTTTTTTTTGTTTAATTTTTAAAATGTTTGATAAAACTCGAATCCTGCTACAACATCAGCATCCTATTTTGATAAGAGTTTCTCTAGTAACGGTTATATTTTGTGAATTTTTGAACTGCATTTTTTCTAAAAACCCTGTGCATTTTAGTTTGATTTTTCTTTATACTCCACTCTCTATTTCTGTTCCCTGATTTACAATGAGGTTTCGGAAATATACCAATGGGTATGTATATCAAGTCTTCGTTTAAAAGTGGCAGAAAAATAATATCTACAACTATAAACCCCTTATAAAGCTTTCAAAAAATTTAAAATTTTTGGAAATATGTTTTTTGAATATATTGTACTTGTTGTTGCATTAGAAAACATTCCCCTAATAATATTATAAATATATATTATAAATTTTATTATATATTTATTTGGGTATTTCTAACCTAAAATATGTCTTATTAAATGAAATATATTAAAAAATAAAAATATACGCTCACATATCTATGTATGTATATACAAAGTAACATGTACATACATACATATGTATATATGTATGTTTATATAATTGTGTATAAAAATTATTGTAGGCAATGGGCTTCAGAAGTTTTGCTGATACACACAAGCATACCCATTAATATATTCACATAAATTTAGCGAATTTGCTAAATGTAAATACATACTTGTATGCGCTAAAATTGTATGTATTTAAATACCGTATTTTATTAGCTTAATTTTACAGATAAACTTCTGTGAAATATCATGTGCGCTCAGTATGATTTCGTATACTTGTAGTTACATACATACATATGTATACAGGTTTGTTGAAAATTGAGTAGTAGAAATAGCACTAATAGCTCCAATTTTTTTTTTTTAGATCGTACTAGGCTTGAAGACAATCCACGCGAAGAATGACCAAAAACCGCAAGCACACCAGAAATCATTTTAGCAAGTTCATAATATGTATTGTTAGTGAAAACACAAGTTCGACTAAGCGAACTCAGATGAACGAGTACTTCATATTTTACATGGTGAATTACATATGAAAAAAAAAATAACTGTTTGGAAAGTTACTGCCGCACACGTTAACAATTCAACAAAAACTTGATCGAAACAAAATTTCTCAGCATAATTTGGAGCGTTTTAAGCAGAATAAAACCGATTTCTTGTGTCGTTTTATTACTATGGATGAGACTTGGATCTGCCACCATCATCCTAAATTGAAACAAGAACGTTTCCAGTTAATTGAAGCTGGTTCTTCAGCTCCAAAGCAGGTGAAGTCACAACGATCAGCAAAGAAGGTTATGGCATCAGTTTTTTGGGATGTAAAAGGAATTTTGTTAACTGATTATCTGCAGAAAGGTAAAACAATCAAGTCTGAAAATAATTGCAGTCTTTTGAAACAGCTGGATGAAAAAATGCGTGAGAAAAGACTTGGTTTTCAACACAAAAAAATCATTTTTCATCAAGACAGCATTGTCTTACAGAGGAGTTTTAACATTAAAAAAATTCAACGAATTAAAGTACGAATTGCTTAAACATCCACCGTATTCACCAGATTTGGCTCCCGGCGACTACTACCTCTTCAGAAACCTGAAACAATTCCTTTATGGAAAGCGTTTTTCGTCAAATTAAGAAGCTATTACAGTCGAGGACGGGAATTTTGCAGAGCTTCCGGAAAGTCATTATAGGGATGGCATAAAATTATTGGAGGATCATTGGAATAAGTGTATTGAAGTTAAGAGAGATTATATTGAATAAATTTATTTCATACCAAAAACGGTATTTTTTCATTTCGAGAGCAGAAACTTTTCAACCAACCTGTACAAGCACATATATTTTTGCATATATTTCTGAATGTACATACATAACCGTAAAATGAATTGCTGTGATGATATGCAAAAACCGAGACTTTGTTATTTTCGAAAAAAAAAAAATTTACTTTTTCACGCAGCAACTGAGGTGTGATATGCTGTTGCCTAATGGCTACCGCTGGCCGTTAGCAGATTAAAGGTGCTCAAGTCAATATGTGCACATTTTCATACATACATACTCGTCGTACATACAAAAACATATACACACACATGTTTATATTTAAAACAAAATATGCGAGCAGAAATGACAGAAAATTTGCAAATCTAAAAAAAAATAAAAAAAAAAATCAAGAAAACATACAATAAACAACAAACTCAAGCCAGAAATGCCGTCATTAGAAGAGGATCCAATGATTTAGGTGCACAAATAAGTTTTAAATAATTCGAGAAAAATCTTGAAAATTAGAAAATTCCT